GAGCAGAGGAGATCTTTATTGCTGAGAAGAAACAGGAGAATAGGAAAGATGGCCTGAGGGCATCACAAAAAGCACCAGAACTCCACCCTCTGCAGCAGCAAAATTGCACGAGTGAAAGACTCTGCTCTGAGGAGAAGGCCACAGAGCACCAAGTTCCAGAATGGTGGCAGCTAAGCCATGTTCCATAATGGTGTGGCCTAGAAAATTTGTTCATCTGAAGTGGATTCAGAGTGCTCAGCAATCCAGGCACTCAGCACTCAACCCCTATAGCCAAGAGAGAAGGAAGCCTGGCTACTGCACCTGGTAGCAGACTTTGGCAGCATCCACCTGGCACTGGTTTTAGGTCCATGCAGAATGCAATAGTTGTAAGATTAAAGCAGCTTCCACCCTGATTTTAGAAGGCCTGGGAGGTCAAGCAGTGTGCTCCTGAGAGGGCATGTGTGAGGCTGAGTATGAAGCCAAAGGTGCAGTGGAGACCCCAGAAGTTTGGAGAAGCCAAGAATGTGGATCACCTGAGAAAACCTGCAAGGAGGGAGCAGAGTGGGCTCCAGAGAGAAGACATGGGCACTACTGCCACTGGAAGTGCACTAAGGCCTTTTGGAGCTCACAATTTGCCACAGATTGCCTCAGATGCTGCATATGGAGCCACAGGACTTAATGTTTGCCCTCCTGGATTTTGAACTTGCTTTGGTCCCATTCCTTTGTATTCCTCTGTTTGTAACTTTTGGAATGGAAATGTTTATCTTGTGCCATTGAATGTTGGAAATGTTTAAGTTTCTTTTCATTTGTGCAGGGGCTCACAGCTAAGAGTTAGCCTTAAATCTTGGAGGAGACTTGGGACTTGGACTTTCAGCAATGCTGAAACTGTTTAGACTTTGGCAACTCTTGGAGATGTACTAAATGTCTTTCACATAAAGGGATGTGCATGAGTTTTTGGAGGGCCAGGGGGGAATGTATGGCTTGTATCTGGATGTGCCCCCAAAGCCTCATGAAGTCATAGCAGGTGCTTTTCAGAGATGGCTGAATCTAGAGTTTGTGACTGATTCATTGTCTAGTGTGGGGATTATGGGGGTGAGTACTACTCTCACCATAGGGCAGGTAGCCTACATACAATATAAGGGATAGAAAGTGTCTTCTCTCATGCTCCTCCAGTTTTGCTTTTGCTGTCTTCCACCATGATGAACTGTTGCTCCTCTGCCACACCACCTTGCCTTGGAGCCAGCTGGTTATGAGCTAAAAAAACCTTCACAAAGTATGAGTCAAATAAACCTCTTCTTCCTTGATTTTGGGCATCAGGTCTTCTGTCTCAGCAATGAGAGGAAAGTAACTAAGACATACTGTGTGCTGTTAACTTCCTCTTTTCCCTTGTGGAGAGGCTTCTTTAACAACATGGACAGATTCTACAGCCACCCAGCATTTGTAACCTTCAGCATCACAGTCTTTCTGATTGTTGTTAGCTCTTCTCATCCTTTCTTTAACTTAGACTAAATCTACAGCTCTATCAGCTTATAGTGAGAAAAAAGGCAAAGATCTGGCTCCCAGGAATCAACTTGTGCTCTCTCTAGCTTTTCCATATTTGGGGCAAAGGATAGAAAAGGAAGAGAGAAAATATCTCCCTCCTTGCCTAGGGAAAGTGGCTATCTCTGCTTCAGTGGCTAATGCTGAGAAGCACATGTTCAAATACTGGCTTTCTCTTGAAGCTCACATACATTCTTAAATCAGCCTTGGAAAAGTGGTGGAAGCGTCTCCTGCATGCTTCTCTCAAGTCAGATATCTGCCTACAGGCCTGTAACCCTTTAGCTCTTCATGGAGTCCACCTCAGAGCCTGGAGTAGACCCCACTTCATACCCAAGTGCCTACAGTATTTTGTAACTTCTCCATAAATCTGCAGTTTTTATATATTCTTTGAATCTGGGCTGAGTCATGTGACTTGCATTGGCCAATGGAAAAATGTGATGTTTAGGATTTGTGTGAATGATAGAAGGCATAATTCCATCACAAAGCAAAATGCAGCCTCATGTTGTGTACAAGAGACATACTCCTAGATCCATGCAATTCACCCAAGATAAAAATAAAAGTACAAGCAAATATAAACAACTGGAAAGCATAGCAGTGATCTTGATATCCATGAACACAGAGATCAAATGCAAAAGCAATTTATGAAGAATGTTTTTAAGGTAAGTCTTTTTTTTTTCTTAATGCTAAGTAAAAGCATTAAGTTCAGTGCTGCCTTCCTTTTCTAGGTGAAGTTCTTTAGCTTCAAGGCAACTGTTCTCAACACGACCCTCGTCTGTGATTTTTACCTTCCTTTCCTACCACTCTGGAAACCTTGATGTAGATGTGGTAGAAACTAGAAGGACAGGAATCACAGAATAGTTCATAGCATCTAAGATTCATGGGGAAGGAAGCCCACTGTCCAGAGTGGGCCCTGGAGTTATGGGTGTGTAGGAGTCTGAAGTAGGATTGATGGGTGAGCTGGTCAGAGGGTGGTACGAGAGAGTGGGGCAGACAGCGAAACTGTGACCCAAGTATATACTAGGCTCCATGAATATTGGAGCACGAGCCCTATGTGACACAACTTTATCTGCATGTATGTTGTTCTGTTCAAGCACTCTCCTCAGAGAGAACTTTTAAAAGTAGAAATCATTTATACTTTGCTAAAAATTACTGTCTCTCTTTGCATTTAAAATGAAAGTAAAACTCTTTAATATGGCCTCCATATTCACGACCCACAAATTCTCTCCCAACATGCATTGCTGACCTCATTCTGTGACAGCCGCACTTTCTCTCTTCCTGTGGCTGTCTTTCAGTCTACAGAATGTGCCAGGGTGCCCCTGTTCTCATTTTAGATGCCAGCTGCAAGGCCTTTCCTGGTAACCACCTCTACCATTTAAATTAGACCTTCGATTAAACTTGTTACATTTTCTTTCCTATCAGATTTTGTTTAATTTTAAAAAAATTTAGTACCTATTGATTATATTCCTTATGGGGAGTTAGTAAGTACATGTATGTAACACATCTTAATTCTTTTTACATCCACTTCTCCCTTCCCTCCCACCTCCCTCCATCTCTTGCATTTATATTAACTTTTTGGAAGACTACTGCCCAGTGAGACCATACATAGCTCCATGAGCTTAGGAATTGTTTTGTTGAGTACTTTCAAAAAATGTTTGATGCACAGTAATCAGTAAAGATTTGTGAATAAATTTAATCCTCATAATAACCTTGCAAAATGATATTCTTGCCCTCTCTTTTCAGATGTGGAAATGAAGGCTTAGAAATGTTTCCTGATCTACTCAGCATCCCAAACTATGGATCCAGATTCAAATCCTGTGCTCTTAAATGCTATATTGTCTCCCAAGTGAGAATAAAGTAAGGTCTGGAGGGAATTACAGAGCTGAAAGTGATGACAGTCTATCTCCCAGCTCTGGGTTATGAGGAATGGCCAGAGGAGGATCTGTTTGTGGGAAGTGAAAATGAAGTAATGACCTTAGGTTTCAATTAGAGTAAAATTGTGATGGAATACTCTGGAAAAATGTTGAAGGTCCAAAGGAATGAGACTTTTGAGAACTCAGCAGGATCAGTTAAACTGGACGTCAGGAAGAGAGTGACAGGGGGAAGACTGGGGGACTTCCTGGGAGCCATGGGGATAGAGGGTGAACGCATGGCTGACTGGACGCAAGTGTGTACTTTGGGAAGTACAAGGGAACTCTGGGGACAAGATGCCTGGGCAAATTAAGAGGAGCTGAACTGCATAGGGTATTGGGAAGGCCTTAGCCAGTAAAAGGCTGTGCTACTGGCTACATTCCTCCAATTTCTGAGCACTGTTCTCCTTACAGAGACTTCCTGTCCACTAATACAGCCTACCTGCTCCTCACTGAGTTTCCCTAGGGACTCCTGCATAATTGCTGCTAATTTAGCTATGTCCTGAAGCACGGGCCAGGGACAGGCAAACTTTGTTGCCCTCAATAGTGGGAGGAGAAGTGATGACTACGGCAAGAAGGCCATGAATGGATTTTCTGGTGGATGAAAACTTTCTGGAGTGTACTTAACACTACATCTTGTGGTGGTGCATGTAATTCTGGGCATAATCTGAGACCACTTAAGAAGGTGGCAGGGCGGGCAAAGTCTTGGATGAGTGTGGCTGTGGCGCGCATCATCACTCAGAACAGGTATTCTGATCTTATGTTGACAAGGAGAAGGGAGAACCAGGCACCAACGTGGCACCTAAGGCTGGGCTGGAGTGGAGTAAGGGCCTGCGGTCTAAGCCTTGGGTGTGAAGCTCAGGTTTCAACACCGTGTGTTGGCAAAATTCTGAGGCTCCCCCAGCCTTACCAAAAGCTGCCGGAAAGGCTTTGCGAACTGTTAACAGAACTACAGAAAAGTCAGTAAACAGTAATGGACCCTTCAAACAAAAACAACCGAATGCCTCTGTCAAAAAGACCGTTAAAGCAAAAATCCCATTCCTGCCTCTGATGATACCTATCCAGAAATGCACACAAAAAAAGTCCCTTCAGTCCTCTAGATCTGGAGAGTTCCTACCCGCCTGAAAAGCACCAGACTGCACAGCTGCCATCCGATGGCATGCCTCACGTGACGCCTTCATCACTGGATCTAGTTGTCCCAGTGTCCCTCCAGCATCCTGCCTGCCCCAGATGTTGAGTTGCCACCTGCTTGTTATGACATAGATATTTAAATTTCTTAGTGCTTCAGAGTTCGTGTGTTTATAGAAATCAAGCATTTCTTTATTTCACAGGAAAAAGTGTGGCAGAGTTTAGGCCTAAAAAGAATAGACATGAACGGTTGTTAAAATTTTTCAATCCCTTAACTTCAGACATTATATATTTTCACAGTTCAAGACCTGTACGTTTATGCTATAAAAAGAGCATAAACAAAAAAGTAATGATGAATAAAAAGTAATACCATAATATTACTGGGTTTATTGTGTCAATCATTAAAACAAAATAATTAGAATTAAGAGTTGCTGAGAAAAACTGTACCTTAAAACTGGAATCCAAATAGTCAGATATCTTGTAAGTGTGCAGAAATGTGCAGGCTGATGGGAGTGTGCCGGCCGATGGCTCCTGAAAGGCAACAGCAGCTGGTTCCAGAACCCTCTGCCTGGAGACAGTTGCTAGGCAGTGCTAGATTTGCTCACAAATGCACTTTTCACCCAAGGATCAGCATTATGATAACACACATGCCGCCTCCCAATTTTTTTTTCTGCCCAGTTTTATTTAAAGGCAAGAGACTGGTAGAATATCACTTATGACAGCTAATAGTCTCATGGACACAGATTGTACTAGGCCATTTCCTGGACAAAAGGATGAAGATCTTCACCTTTGTGTCTATAAGCATGTTATAAATGTCTGAAGGCTGCAAATTTCATTTGTTCTTTTTTCCTCAGGCTGAATGTAAATGTTGTCCAGGGACCAGAATAATGGAATATTCTCTTTCAAGTTCTTCGGCTGATTCACAGAAAAGCCAATACCACAGTGAATTTAACTTAAATTCATTTTAAGAAATATTTAGTAGATGCTTCTGAGATTTTGAAGTACGTAAACAAAAATATCATCATTCCAGAATTTTAAGGCTCTTCTTTGCTTTGCCTTTTCTTTCTGCCTATAAAGTTGAGGCTCAAATTTTTATAGACTCAACCATTTCCTGCACTAATGACATTACTAGGCCAAAGCAAAGCTGGGCTCCCTAGCCTATTGACAATATGAATGACACAGTGTGATAACTGAAAAAGTTTGATACTAGTAGTAATGTGCTGAGTAATACAAAGAATAAAAAGTAAAGTAGGATTCTTGCTGTTGTGGATGGAGTGCTTGCGGCTGGGTCTGCCAAGTCATTTTGTGGGTGTGCTGCCTTCAGGATTTCTGAAAGCCAGAGTATCCATTCCTCAAGGCAGCTCTGCTCCCATAGTCCCTTTGTGCCAAAAGCACTAGCATACCGCTGGTCCTTCGTACGTAAAATCCTGGAGCACAGGTGCTTTCCTCTATGACAGATCCTCTAATATCTAATTCCCCAAACTTGCCTCTGAGTCCTTTGCTTTGCACCATCCTGTCTACTAAAGTTTTGCCGTATTACTTTATTCCACTAGCTAGTAAAAATAACACAACTAAAATCAAAACAACAAAAACCAATTGTTCTCTATTTCTCATCGTTCAAGCTATTCTTTTAATTTTTAAATTAAAACTTTTTTTTAGTCTAGAATGATAAAGATCCAGTCTTGGCTCCTCAACTGTCTAACAAGCCTCTGGCTGTAGCAACTCTATGCCTTCCTCAAATTTCTTGGTTCACAGTCCATATCCATGTATTTGTTTATTCCTGCCTCTAAGTCTGTTTCACCTGAAATGCCCTTAATGCTTCTGACTCTAACTCATTCCCAGGTTGAGCTAGCCCATGAAAGTGTTCTAAATTCGGCTTCATCTGTGGAACTTTCAAATTCACATAATTACTAGCATGCCCCAACACTGTTCTTCTAGGCAGTGAACTGGCATCTCCAAGTGTTCTAGAATTCTTGTCAATAAAGAATCTTAAGTCACAGTAAGAGTTGACAGCTATATGGTGCTTGTTTGTACCAAGCACTACTCTCAACATCTATATTATCACAAGAACCTCACAAAGTAGATACTATAATCCTTATTTTTCAAATTAGGAAATTCGGGTGCAGAAAGGATAAGTAAAATGCACAAGGTTACACAGTAAGATGCAGTTAAAACTGAAACCCAAACACACTGTTTCCAGAATCCATGGTCTAAAGTAATAGTCATTATCATGCATTCCTTCCAGTTTTAACATTCTTATCAATCTAGTCTTTTTTAAAAAAATTGGTACATGTTTGCACTACTCAATGATTACATTCATTGTGGGGGATTGGTACATGTACCTAACACATCTCAATTCTTTCTACATCTCCTTCGCCTCCCCCTCCCCCCATCTCTTGGTTCCTTTTCTATCTGTAAAAGATTTATCTCCCTGTTTCCTGTTACCTAGCTTCTATTTTGCTCCTTCATTTACTTATATTTTGTGTTTCTCCATCATCTGATTGAAGGGAAACCAAGAAAGAAAAATTCAACGACCTGCCTAAAGTAACAGATAGCAGGGTTCCTCAAAATTTCATATGGCTGTAAATTACCTAGGAATCTTTTACCATGCAGATTCTAAATCAGTAGTTACAGCAGTTACGTGTTTCTGCTAAATTCTTACTGGGCCAGGTTCTCCACCGCGGGCAGCAAGGACAGAGAAATACCAACTCAGGCTGGAACTCAGCTCCATACGACATCCAGGGCAACCATCCAGGAGACTGGGAGGCAGTAGGATGGAGAGAAGGCAACCAGGAAAAAAAATCTTCGCTCATTATTACCCCCAGTTTGTCCATAATGAAATACCTCACAAAGTTTTTCAACCTTCTTTTAGTAATCCAATTATTAAACATAAGAAAGGGTTTAAAATACTTTTTAATTATCAAAGTAGTGACAAGTGAATAGCAAAGAAGCTGTGTTTTATGTAGATTTTCTTAAAATTTTAAATCTGGAAAGTTTCTGAAATTAAATGATCTTGTTGCTCTGAAAGAGTTATTAGTCTGTAATTCTACCTCTTAGAATATAGCCTACACAAATACTCTGCACAATGAAAATATTTATGTACACTAATTGCTTTGTACCATTTATAAGAATCATAAAGAATTATAAATCTAGTCATTCATAAAGAATCATAAATAACTTCAGTGCTTAATAGCATAGACTACTTAATACAAGAAAAGCCAAATGATAGATTAAGTAAAAGTAGTTTTTTTATCTTATCAGGAGAAATTAAAACACACACACTACATTTACATTTAACTTCCTATCAGAGACTTTATTCAACATTGATGATCTGGAAATAGGAAATAAGCTTCTTATGCTTAAACTTCTCCTACTTTACTATGCCATTTAATCATTACCATTTTAAGAAGTTTCCAAAAATGTAAGTTAATATCTTCTTGCTGGATTCTCGGTAAATAATTATAAAATAGAATGGTTATAGCTTTATGATATTATGATATAACCTAAAAGTACATCTATCCATGTTCTGGATCTATTTTAAGAGCATTTAATAAAATGCCAATAATTGATGAGTCAATCAGTTCTATCTTGATCCAGTTCCAATTTTTATAGTTTATTTAAAGCTTTATTTTGTAAAGCGTATTTCAATTAAATTACTGCTTGACTGGTCCAAGGAGCTGAGCAATTTCCCAGCGGAGCTCGTCTTTACCAGCTGACTGCATGCACTTCCACATGTGTGTCTTTGTCAGGCAGGGATGAGGGACTGTGAGTGGTCTTTTCCTCCTTACAATGTTTTCTATTCCTGATTTTAGATCAGGGATTTCATTTTTTATACCCCCATTAATCACCCTTTATGTTTCAACTTTTTAAAAATTGACAAATAAAAATCACATATATTTTGGGAGTGTAACATATTTTGTAATATGTTGTAAATTGTGGAATGACTAAATCAAGCTAGTGAACAAATACTTCACCTCACAGTTATTTGAGATTAGGACACTTAAAATTTACTCTTAGCAGTATTCAAGTATACATACATTGTTATGGTTACTTTATTTCCAATCACTAATAAAATATTACATATTCATAATATGTTAGCTATAGTCATGATGTGCAATAGATCTCTTGGACTTATTCACCCAGTTGAAATCTTTTATCCTTTGCCAACATTTCCCAAATCTTCCCCAACCCCAGATCCTCACAGCTGCCATCCTATCTGTTTCTATGACTTTGCCTCTGACAGTTCAACGTATCAGTAAGGTCAGTGGTATTTGCTTTGCTGTGCCTGACTTAGTTCACTTATAATATCCTCCAAGACCATCCATGTTGCTACAAATGACAGGATTTCAACTTTTTCTCTCCTTTTTATATCTGAACAGCATTGCATTGTGTATCTAGAGCATATTTTCCTTATTCATTCTCTTGACAGACACTTAGGTAGGTTCCCTATCTTGTCTATTATAAATAATACTTCAGTGAACATGGCTGTTCAGGTCTCTCTTCAATACTGATTTAACTTCTTGTGGATACAAAGCCAGTGGTGGGATGACTGGACCATAAAGTCATTCTACTTTTAATTTTGGGGGGAAACATCTGTATTTGTTTTATGTATTAGCTAAAAAAAATTTACATTCCCACTAGCAGTGTATAAAGTTTCTCTTTTCTTCACACCCATTGTCTTGATAAAATCTATTATACTAGATGTGAATTATCTCATTTTGGCTAATTTGCATTTCCCTGATAATTAGCGATGATGAGCATTTTTTCATATATCAGATAGCTATTTGTATGACATTTTTGAGAAATGTCTATTTAGGGTCTTTTGCCTTTTTTTTTTTTTTTTTGTACCTGGAATTGAACTTAGGACCTTGTGCTTGCCAGGCAGGTGCTGCGCTGCTGAGCTATATCCCCAAGCCGTTGGCCCATTTTTTTAACTGGGTTGTTTGCCAGCTAATCAATTGAGTTCCTTATATATTTTGGGAGTAAGTCCCTTATAGGATGTATGATATGCAAACCTCTTGTCCCTTTCCGTAGATTGTTTTGGTCTGTTGATTGTTTTCTTTGATGAGTAGAGCTTTTTGTTTGATGAAATCTCATTTGTATACTTTTGCTTCTGTTGCCTGAGCAATGATGTGTAGTTCTTTCTATTTTCTTATAATTTTAGGTTTTATGGTTAAGCCTTTAATCAATTTTAGTTGATATTTTTGTATGGTATGAGATAAGGGTCCAATTTTATTTTCCTCCATGTAGATATCCAGTTTTCTTAAAAGCATTTACTTGAAAATACTGTCCCTTTCCCAGTATTACATTTATTTTGTGTATATTGAAACTTCCTTGTATACCAATTACAAATCACACTTCGTCATGGTGAATCATCTTTATAACGTGCTGTTGAATTCAGTTCACTAGTATTTTGTTGAGGATTTTTCATGTTTGTGCATCAGGGACCTTGGCTTAGAATTTTTTTCTTGTGGGATCCTTATCTGGCTTTGGTATCAGAGAAATGCTAGGCTCATAGAAAGAGTTTGGAAATATTCTTTCCTCTTTAGTTTTGGGAACAGTTTGAAG